CCATAAAAATATCTATCTTCTGGAGGACAATGTAACGGTCATCTCTTGGTGTTGTTTTCCTTGGACGGCCACCACCACCAACAAATTGATTTTTGACAAATAAATTATAGGGGATTGTCGTCATATGGGAAATATGTGGTTCCAATATTTTTATCTGGAAAGCTGTCGAAAATTTGAATCCCCTAATGTTAATTTTTTTCTTGCGTATTTCGCTATATCTCGAGAACTTTTAAGAGAATTTAAAATATTTTGTTTGGAATTATAACATTCATTTATCCCAAAATAATTACACATTAATGATAATGAAAAAAATTTCTAAATGAAAAAAGATCTGAATTGCAAGGTCTACAAATGCTTATACTAAGTTTTAAGTAATGTAGTTTTATTTGCCAAAATATAAAATTTGAGAGAAATCGGGCAAACAGTTCCTGTAAAATGGAATTAAAGAAAATTCGAATGTTTAAAATTCAATTTCTTAGGAGTTATTCAGTCGATTTGCGCAAGATACATTCTCTGAATAAATATACTTTTTCTTCGATGCATTTTATTTCATAACCGTCATTGAACAGCTGACCCAAACTTTGAGTTTATGACTGCTAACATTTCTGTAGCCTTGTAATTTTGAACCCAATCCAGAAGACTCCTGAATTAAGTATTGGGCGAAATTTGACTTCGTGGGGGACTTTTTGATGGAAATAACCAGCACATACGTTACATAGAGAGGACAACCATGAAAACCTCCCACGGTTAGCCTGACGAAAAGTCGCAATCTTCAAACGATGGTTACAATACTTAAAAAAGTGGTCGAAAGTTTACGCCCTTTAATGTTAATTCACTTTTTGAGAGTTTCTCTGCATCGAACATTTTTGAATTGTAATGTATGTAGTTCATCACATAATTCTTAACACTGAAATTTTAAATGAAAATATTCGAACGAAATCGGTCAAATAGCTCTTGAATGAATAGTCAAAAATACGAATTTATTAAAATTATATAATTCTTTAACTTTACATTATCGCCTTCTGATTTCGTATTTTAAAATTACATAATTTGAAATGACATGAAAACTGCACATCTAACAATTCAATATTTTCTCCCATCATTATAAAAAAAAAATATAATTATTGAAAATCACTTTTTCATGGAATTTTTTTGAAAAAACGAATGTTATAATTGAAAGCAAATTTTTATTTGATTCGCTTAAAATGCTCTCGAGATGTAGCGTAATACGAGAAGAGTTAAATTAACATTAAGGGAACATAAATTAAGATAATTCACATACAATTAACATTAATTAACATAAACTTCTGAGCGGTTTCCTGTTGGGAACATTTTGATGATGTTATTTTGATGATCAAAAATCTAAATCCGTCTAAAAAAGGTATGTTTATTCGGAGAAAATACGTTTTTGTTCCTGATTCGGTAACTTTTTTTCGTAACTAGAACTAGTAATTAATTAAAAATTTTAAGTCAACCCTTTGAGATAGTTAAAATTAGCTTATAATACGTAAAAATCCGATTTTTAAAACAAAAGTTATTCAGGGTGATTAATATACGTATTCATTTAGTTGCTCATTATACTTATTCTATTATCTGCTAAACGTTAAAAGATATTTAGTTCGTTTCTGCCTTCCTAACTTTTAAACCACAGTATCGTAATTTTGGATATGTTTGCTTTTCTCTAACGATTCTCTTTTACATTATAGGATAGTAAATATTATCATTCAGGAGATCAGAAAAAAGATAGACTTAAAAAGTTGCTTTTGAGTGTCAAACATTTTAACAATTATAGTTATTCATAAAGAAACCAAGCTTTCACCAATAAATTTTGTATAGACGAAAAAAAAAGAAGAAAAAAAATCACGAAACTTCAAAATTTGCATTTAGCAAATAGTTTTTCTAAATTTGCATTTGGCAAAAAAGGGAACCTTAATCTCCACAATCCCTTTGATCGAGAAGAGGCAGATATGGAGGTATGGAGGGCGACCTCATTTATAACTCAACTTAATAATAAACTGTTGGTCTTTAACGTTAAGTCAGTTTAGTTCAAAAAATTCTGTTTGAACCTGATATTGAGCTACGTAAAGTATCGGACGTTTTTTAGGAAAATAATTTAGAATAATAACTTAGTCATTAACTCTATGTATTAAAGTCTGCAAAAAATTCTCGTTACACCTGATACAGAAAATATCAGTAGTTATTTATAACTCACCTTAATAATTATAATTAAAAATGTAGTCTTAATTAATGATAATTTTTCTTATTCTGTTTAGATATGAAATTTAAATTCTATAATGAATGAATACCTTTTGTGTGTGAAAGGTTTAAAAAAAGCGTAATAAAAAACAATGAACATTCTTTACCGTGTTTCCAATAAAGATCTAATAGTTTTTTCGCCATATTTTCACCTGCCAATTTCAAATATTCCGGAGCCAAACCTCGAATTTTTAAATCCATCATAAGAAGCACCAATTCTTCTCGATAATTTAGATTTCCTAAGAATAAATTAAATAAAAATGTTAAGAAAGGGTATGTACATGTATATATATATAAACATAAAAAAATTTGAAAAGTAATTAAAAATTTTAAGGAAGAGCATGAAGGTTCTCATCAGGACACATTCCTTTACGACAGCGAAAGAGACATTTCAAAGTAAAGATTAATTATCCTAAGATAAGAATTATTCTTTATAATGCGTTTAGGCCTCTGAAAATTAAAAATAAAATTGTAATTATAAATGAGCTTAGGAGGAAGGGAAAAGAAAAACAGAAAGCAAACTTATCGCTATAAAGTAAAATAAAATAAATATGCGTTGAAATTCGATATACTAATATTCAACACATATTTATTGCAAAAATTGCTAAGTTAACAAAATTGTTATTGTTTACAAAAATGGCTAAGAAGAAAAAATATAATAATTGTGCTTTTATCTTTATCGTATAAAATAATTGATATAAAATTTATGAAGCGAATTACAAGTCAGAGCTGCCATCTACGGAAAAAACACTCTATTACTAATAACAATAATAATTGGAAAATTTAAACAATAAACCCCATAATAGGAAAAGAAGGCAATAAAAAAAGTATTCAAATTGTAAAATCTTTAAAAACCCATTCAGTTAGGTAATATTTGTAGAGCTTAAACTAGGTACATACAAACATTAACTAGGAATAAACCCTTTTATTAGTTTTCCTTCCTTCATAGGGTGACTGTTTATAAGAGCATTTAAATTACTTTTGTTAAATTTGTTAAATAATATTTACGTATTTTTTTAATCATCAGTTTTATACCTAGTAAAAAAATAGGAAGCATTTAAAACATTTTTCCATTTCATGATGATGGTTTTGCATACGAAGTTGAAGCCACCCATTCCAGTATTTAGCCTATAATATGTTCATTAATTAGCATTTAGTAATAAATTAATAATTATTTCTAATCACTTCTTTCACTAGTTAGGTAACGTTTAGTAATAATAAAGTAATATTTCTGAAGTAAGGTAAATTTTCGACCTCTTAATATACTTTTTCACGTTTTGGTTTTGGTCATGAAACCAAAACTAATTAACATTTAAAAATATATCCTGTCTTTAAAAACTTAATTTATCCAAATGGAATTCCAGTTAAAAAATATTTTTAACATTTGTTTATGTTTTATTGATATTTAAATTAAAAACTGAAATATTTACTTTAATATTTTAAATGTATAAATACTTTTTATATCTTTAACTGTTCGGAAATAATAACGTTAAATAAACGGAAGCAACGTTACTATAAATGACAACTAAGAAACCCAAACCGAAACTTCACAGATTGATAGCTCTGTGAAAAAGCACAAAAGGGTATCGTTTGTATGCTGTCAACTAAGTTTCGATTTTGAAATTTAGTTCAAAGTTCAAAAGTAAGATAGTATAATTATCATGCTCTTTTATAAATATTGATCCATTTATATTTATTGGTGGTCAAAATAATTTAAAATTAAATTTAGAAATCCGGGAAAGAAATAGGTAGCATAAATTTTAGTAATTTAAATTAAAAATCTAATTTTAATAATTTAAATGTGAAAATTTCGCAAAATGCGTAAAAGTTGACAGCTATATACACTTATATAGGTGTATTTATATTGTTTATAGTGAATATCACTATACTATCCAATATAGTGATATTCAATACTCACTATATAGATACACCCATTAAAAGGAATGTATAGCTAGCTACTCGTGACCTGCAGAAACTTAATAATTGATGCCAAAACCATGCTTTTGTATTAAAGTGATTCAAATTTTATCGAAAATAAGCAAAAAGGCGCATAAAAATTGAGTTGCATTACAGAACATAGCATAATTTTCAAATTTGACTTTAAATGATTATAGACTTAGTAATCCGCATATTTCTTTTTAAACGGGCATTAAACTATGAATCACCTACTTTAGTTCTGAGTTGATTAGATAAAAAAATTGTTTTTCGCTAATTTAAGAACAGAGCGAGTTCTTTTAATTCTGCAACTTTCACCTTTCACTTTTTAAATTTAATTTTATTTTCTCATCTTCATCCCCTTTTTTATTTCATCTGTTCGCAATAAAATTTCTGAGTCATTCTTGTAGCCTTGGTGATGCTAACAAAATTAATTTCTTTATAATCAGGACTAAATTAGGTTTGATGTCGAATTTGTTCAGTCCTAAAATTAAATCAAGACGTGAATTAAACCTTTTTCTGTCACAACAGTTTCGTCGGATGTCAAAACATTGCCAGGGGAGGAAAATCCACGTTCAATTGCAGCATTCTTATGCGACAGGACTATCGTTACCTTCATTACTTGACCAACATCAGTAAATTTAATTTCATTCGTTATACTTTTGACCAATACTGGTCAGTAGAACAATTTTCTATTTTTATAATTTGTTCCACCCAACTAAAAGACGGCAAATTTCCACTGTTAATGGCAAAGCCTTGCAATGATTTGAATCTTGCTGGAAGCAAACTTAAATTTGCCTTTATCCAAACATCGTAGATCGGATGAAATACTCACATATATTTTTAACTGTCTATTAAGCTATGTGTATCCTACAGCATAAAATTGTTTTTGATGTTTTCCCTTTATTTTGAAGAATTCATTGCTCAGCCTCAAGTTGTTATTTATTTCTTTTAATGGCAATAATTTATTCTCACCAAACAAACCAACATCAGTAATTACATATATCTTACTCCTAAGTTTTAAAAGCAGTTTTTCTTTCTTTTGTTGCCTCAAAAAGTTCATGCATCAGTGGTACATCACTATGAAATAAATTCAAATAATACGAAACAAATGCAGCGTTATCAATTTAGAAAAAAAATTAGCCTAATTTCTTTCAATTGCCAGATGTTTACCGTAAATTAGTTTTGATTGAACTTTCATCGTTACTAAAATGATGAAGAAAATTTGTGTTCCAAAAGTAAAAATTCTCCACCGTTGAAATCAAAATACTCAAGTTCTGTGATCTCATTTTTTGTGAAAGAAAATTAGTTTTACTTTTTTCTCAGTAAAAGAAAAAAAAAGTGAGTACTTTATGATTCCAATTAGTTTTCTAAATATTTTTCTTTGCCCCAATAAAAAGATTAGTGCGTTACACCTTTTGTATCTATTTACGAATAGATTAAATGTTGCAGCAAAGTTTTTAATTTTCTTTTCAGCAATTTTTAAATTCTTGGGCCCCAAACTAAAAAAACAGAAAAAAATCGAAGTTTTGACAGCTGATAAAATGTCTTTCAATGGCTAGAATTTACACGAGAATTGAGCTATTTCAAATAAATATCTATTTTATTATTTTAGATTAATTTCATTTAATAGCTTACGTTGAATTTTTCCATAATTTACTATGATGTTTTCTCACGAGGTGTGATGTTGTAATTGGGTACAGAGGTATCTAGGCATGAAAATATGAAAAAAGCAACCCTAAATCAGACTGGTGAAAATTTTTGGTTATAAGAATATCCTTATCGTACTCTAACGTCATTCAAACGGGAAAATTTAGAGATCTTGATTTGTTCAAAAACATGACGCCATTTAGACAAGAGGGAATTATTATGGCTTTCTGTAAAAGAACGATTTCTACGTCTTAACCCTTTCATTACTAATTTTTTTTTCTGAGAAAAAAATGAACTAAGTAATTAAATATCTCAGTTACAATGCAAAAATCGATACAATTCTAAAAAAGGGAAAAAATTACTGTATTGTCAGTGATATCAAGGAATACCAGTGGGACATGCATTCATAATAATACAAAGCATATTTAGCCCATAGGGTTATTTGAAACTGCCTGCGGGACATATATGTCCCGGTGGTAGCGAAAGGGTTAAAATTAACACAGTTTAAGTTATGATTTATGATTTAATATAGAAAGACTCATATGTACATATATACATACATATATACATACATACATACACATAAAAATATCTATATCTATGCTTGTATCTATCTTATTCATCTCTCTCTCTCTCTCTCTTTAT